CCAGTAACCAGCTTAATGGAGGTAAATTATCTTCCTTTAAAAAGAACTATGTCGTCTACTTTTAAATTTTTTGAGGAAGTTTTTCCATTTGTAACGACTCTGAAGCTGACCGAGATACTCTATATGGACCAACGTTTCCAAAATTTATCTTTTAATTGATTAAGTTGTTGCCAAAGTGATAATCTACTTAACGTTACGACGTCGATTAAGCTGGGTTCCGGAAATGCGGTAAGTGCTTCACCTATCAAAAAATGTCCGGGCTTAAAAACGTCGGTTCATTACTACCATCAAAAACACTTGTAATTGGCCTTGAATTAACTATTGCTTCTATTTGGGTTAAAACCGTGGAAAATTCTTCGTAGTTAGACACGTTTCTCCCACTACTCTTCGCAAATGATGTTTAGTTAATTTTACCGTGCTTTCCCACAAACCACCAAAGTGTGGTGCATGGGGTGGATTAAATTTCCCCACTCAATGCCCTCTGCGGCAGCCGCGTGAATCACCTCATTTCTACTATGCTCATTTTAAACAAATTATACAGTTTATGTAACTCATGCCTAGCGCCTATGAAATTTGTACCATTGTCAGAAAAAATGTGACTGCATTTGCCTCTGCGCGAGATAAAACGTTTCAAGGCCGCTATAAATGTGTCGGTTGTCAGACTGGTAACTAGTTCCAGATGTATGGCTTTTGTACTAAAACAAATAAAAAGTGCTATGTAGCCCTTCATTTGCGGTGCTTTTCGTAGCCGACTTGTACGCAAATTGATTGGGCCTGCATAGTCTACTCGGTATTTAAAAAGGGACGAGCTATGGTTACTCGTTCAATTGGTAGATTTCCCATTATCTGCTGAGAGCTAGTACAATTAAACCGAAAACAGCGCACACAATTTTTGATTATACGTTTTATTGCGATTCTACCTTTGATTGGCCAAAACTGCAGTCTAACATTAGCTAGAACGGTCTGTGGACCGGCATGCAATAGACGTACATGTTCTCGTTTTAAAATTAAATTTGTTAAATGATTATCGGCTGGAAGTAACAATGGAAACTTTTGTTCGTATTCTATGTTTGCCATTTGTATTCTACCCCAACGCGTAATAGACTCTTGTCATCTAAAAATGGATTTAAACTTAAAATCTGTTTATCTATTTTTGTACTAGCAGACCCGCTGTTCAAATATTTGAGAATGTTTTCCAAATTTTTTTTTGAACGATTTTAACAATATGGTGTAATGATTCCTGTAATTCGGTTACTGTCAGCGGTCCAACATTCTTCTGCTTCTTGCAGTTTTTAATAAACCTAATACAATAAGCCATTTACGCGTTGGAGTTTATTAAAACAAGAAAATCGTAGGAACATGTCGTCCATCCTCTGTGCACAAGTATTTATTTTTATTTGAACTGTTGGTTAGGGAACTTCAAAATTTATATTATCCGTTACTTTAAAAATTGACGGCCAGGAGTCAGTTTCAAATTTAAGCCATGCTGGACCATACCACCACAAGTCCATGTTTATTAACTTATGACCGTAAATACCGCGCGAAATGAAATCTGCCGGATTGTCAGTTGTCGGTACATGTCGCCATATTATATTATTAAGAGTTGTGTATTTCCGCTACTCTGTTTCCTACAAACTGTTTTAATTTTTCTGGCCGCGTGATGATCCAACACAAGGTAATACTTGAATCACTCCAAAAATAATTAATATCTACTTGAAATTCAAAGACTTAACGGTATTTTTGTATAATCTTGTTAACAATAGTGCAGCGCAGAGTTCAAGTCGAGGTAGGGTTATCGATTTAAGGCGGTGACACTCTAGATTTGAACATAATAAGCGTACTGTAGGCTCCCTATTATGATAATTAGTTTTAATGTATAAACAAGCTCCGTAAGCTTTCAGGGAGGCATCGCAAAAACCATGAATTTCAATCCAATCCGATCAATTTTGTCTAAGTCAAATACCGGACGCGGAATAATTATATTTTGCATGTGTATTATTATTTTCAAAATCGAACCAACGTTTCATAATAGTGCTATCAACAACTTCATCCCAACCGGTTTTTAGTTGCCATATATCTTGCATTATTAATTTAGCTACAACTACGCAAGGCGAAATAAGACCGAGAGGATCGAAAATTTTGGCAATAGATGATAAAATGGCGCGCTTTGTTATTTGTGATGATGAAATTGAAGCATTTGAAGATATTTGAAATACATCCCTCTTGGGGTCCCACAGTAAACCCAAAGCCTTAATTATATTTTTATTATCGGTTAAATTGAACGCATTCGTTTCGCGATTTTGTAAGGGAACGGAATCAATAATGCTACTGTTATTAGCAGCCCATTTATGCAATTGAAAATTGCCACGATTAAAAAGTTGTATTAGTTCCTCCTTTAACTTTATTGCCTCTTCTAATGAATTTGCACCCGAAATAATGTCATCGACGTAGCAATCGTGTTGGACAGCGCGTGAAGCTAAAGGAAAGCTCTCTCCCTCATCTAATACGAGTTGGTTCAGACAACGAATAGCCAAATATGGCGCACAAGCAGTTCCATAAGTAACTGTAGATAAATTAAAACATTTAATTTTATCATGAACATTTTCACGCCATAAAATTCGTTGCAAATCTTGATGTTCTTCCTTGACGCGAATTTGTCGAAACATTTTTACAATATCCGGGGTCATTACATAATTATACGATCTAAAGCGCAGTAAAATAGTAAAAATATCCTGTTGTAA